TGATTAAAGCCATTTATTTTCCTGGGTCCATTGCCTTTTCATTTCCATTCAGAACAAATAAACCAACATAACTTCTAACAAAGTACAGTAGAAATCCTTTTGGCTGATCTCATTTATCAACACCTTAACATGAATGACACTTGACCTTAAATAACCTCATCCCCCTTTCAACATAATCAAAGCACAAAAGGAAATGCACCCCCTGGTGGACATAAATACAGAGAAAAAGGATAAATAGCTCCTACAGACTCCTTCCAGAGAACTGCTGCTTACCATTTTGATGGCAGTCTGAAAGATCCCGCTGAGGTTTTTCTCATTTGATGCAATATTTGAACCAAATTAGCCGTGTTTAAATTGCATCTCTTTCAGCAAAATAACTTTCAGGAAGCTTAGAGCAATACTGAACTGATTTTTGGTTAGCTTTCCAGTGGATTTAACATTCATGCTAATAAATATATAAATACATTTTACCGCAGTTAAAAAGGTTCCTTTTTATAAAAATTTATAGTAACTTCAAACTTCGTTAATAGGAGATCCTATAGATGATGTTATGATGCTGAACCTGGAGCCATAATTTCATCGACCTACTCGCCTATCTCATCATACTCATTTATCTCAACAATTTAGTTTTCATTCAGTTCTAAATCCAAGTTATATTCTTTTTTTATCTTGTTAAGAAGCAAATGATTTGCTGCATAGTCGCCTCCTCCTCTGTCTCATACATCACAGAGAAATATTTTTTCACTTAACCTTTGCTCTGTCACATCAGGAGAAATAAATGTTCAAATGTTTTTCACAGTAATTATCTTTCTAATTACTGAGATGAAATCTACAGCGAATGTCGGCAACAATTGAAGAAATGCATGCATGCAAGGAAATCAAAACCAAAGAAGCATGGAGCGCCTGCAGAGAGGAAGCAGAAGAAGTCACTAAAGTCCTTCCATAGCTGGAAAGCAAACCTGCCCCAGTCAGACCGGACTGAACCACCGCCTGATGTATTAGTTTAGTTAAACTATTTAGTTACAGACCTATAAACTTCTTATACATTTTCAAGTCAGGAGAGCCAGGTCCATAATCCAGAGCTTTAACATCTTGCACATGTAAACCATCCATAATAAGATGGTGCCAGCAAGCCAGAAGAATAATTACATGAAGATGCTTTTAGAATCTAATTATAAAATAAGGTGGATGTTTCAGTGAGACCAAAGAAATAGTCAAGAAGAATATCCACTCTAAAGTAAAAGACTTAAATATAATTAAATATCTTTATAAAGAGCAAAGGATCAACATCATGAAAGATATGGAGGATAAAAAGTGCCAAAATTAAATAAATAAATACAGCATTAAATA